CAATTTTAACGCACTGGGGCACGTGGCTGTGTGCAGCAAGTTATCATACCGAACATTTACTAACAGCTGGGAATGTCGTGAATACATTTGATCCCAAAAGTGCAGCATCAATTCAAATTGCCCAAGTTGTACCAAAAAACGCAGAACTAGAAACAAATCTTTCCTCTATATCTGCTCATTTCTCTCATCTTCCATCCGCCATTTCCTCACTGGAGGCAAGCAATAGCAATACTACTTTGTATCAGTCATTAAGTGTGTTCAAAACCACTGTTTCCAAATTGAATTCAGTTCCTGGAAGAGTTGAAATAGTAAAGGAAAAAGTACACAGCATTCTTTAAAAAAATCCAGGATATGAACAAATTTGTGAAATTGAAGAAATTTTAGCTGGTAAACATACTGAACTGCCAAGTAAAAAATCACTAACAGTGGAGCAAATATCGGCTTTTGTACACACGCCCCTAAGTTCCTGTGAGGTGGAAAGAAGTTCAGAAATGCTGGTCTACAAGAATGAATGTGGCCTTGCACATACCTGGAGTACAGGGACTCCTTGTAGATGGTGAACCACTCAAGAAGAGGTAAATGGACAGGAAGAAACTGCATGGCTGTTTGGTCACTCAGAAACTTGACATCCTTCATTCACTGGGAGGAGCCCTGCTTCACTGCTGCCACTCCAGCACTGTCTGCATACAGGAACAGTTAGTAAAACTTAACAGACTGTATGTTACAACTGGTCATAATTTCTGACTGTCACGAAGCACATTAAGGATCCAGGGTAGCGACAGGCTATGGGGCTGGACAACTGAGGGGTTGGAGTTTCAAGTCCCAGTAGGGTCAAGAATTTTCTATTCTCCATGTTCTCCAGACCGGTTCCAGGGTCCACCCAACCTCCAATCCAATGGGTACTGGGGGCTCTTTCCCCAGAGATAAAGTGGCCTGGGCTTAAAGCTGACCACTCACCTCCATCTAGTGCCAAGATCAAGAAAATGTGGATCTATACATCCACTCCCACCATACATGGCATAATGCTTAATTAGTTAAGCACAGGGACAACTCTGTTTGCTGATTCAAGACGATCCTGCCACACTGAATTTAGTACACATCATCTAATACACAAAACATCCTGTTCCTAGTTTTCACAGTTATAAGAAGCTGAGTACATCGATAAGTGTTGTCACTATAAATGAATTTATAAAACATCTCTGTAGTGAAGACTTGGCACTAGTATACAATGGCAATGACTGGATTCAAAGTTAAGTCTTGTCTGAACATTTAAGAATATTTGGAAAAAGAAAAGATGGTGATAGAGCGTTATCATCAGTTCTGTTGTGTATGCACCATTGGCTGTAAGTTTTTCCACGCTGCTAGTCTAGTTATGTTGTTATGTGGTTTGCGTGTGTAGATATTGCCAGTATGTATACAAATATTAACTTCAAAAACGCAAGATGCAGGTTTTATATTAAATTCCCTGCATATGTTAAACAAACCAAAGAATGTTCTCTTCTGAAAAGGCAGCCCAAGCAGTTCCTTATAATGGGCGTTATTACTTGGGCGAGGACCCTATTGAAAATGATTTTACTTAGACTGGCTGATTCTACTAACAGTTAAATTGTCAGTTTATTGTGTCCTTTACTTCGATCTTGATTTGTAGTGTTTGTTGCATGTGATACAGCTTTATCTTTCTGTTTGTACTTTTTATTGTTTTAATTATACGCACTGTTTTCAACCAGTGCTTCGTTTGCTTTGTCTCTCTCACCTTAGAATGTTACATGCTTGTTGCATTATTTCTTTCCTTGTATAACACTGACATGTCCTGTATCACAGTAAAGCGCTTACAGGACTAATAAATGAAATTAAATTATCCTACACTTGAGAAAACTGTTAAAATTGTCCTTAAATAAATCAACAACCTAACCTTCCATGCCTGATGCTGCTCTTGGAATTTCGTCACTGACCACGTGTTTAGCCAAATCTTATCTTCATAAGATCTGAAATCCTCATGACGAAGAAATTTAAGATTGTGATCACCTGGGATGTTCCTCTGCAATGCTGGTGTATACGCGCCTAACTATGCGGTGTCTCATGTCAGAATGCCATAATATTTGCCCTATTTTGATTTCCGAACTATTTGTTCAGGAGCTCGCTTACTACATAACTGGCTTATCTGCACACTATAAATAACACCAATGCCCATGAATACAGCATAAAAATACAAGAAATTACTATCACGGCTACGTTACGGTGCATAGTACACATATTCTTCCTTCCCAGCCATCTTGCGCACACACATTAGCCAATGATGACGCACTTCTGCTATCCACAGATAACACACCTGGTACCACGGTACTTTAGTCTGTGACAGGGCAAAGGCTAACGGATTACAGATTATCTTCAGCGCAGAGCCTTCCTACGTCATGGCTCTAAAGGCAGTCGCCCAGCTATTCAAGAAATCTCCCATCTTAACATAATGAGCATCTTTAAAATAGCCTACTACTGGTCCCTATTATAAGCCAGCATGAATACAGTCCACACCCTAATATCGGTCATGTAACATAAACTTTAATAATATATCTCCATCCATACCTAGGTCTCCCCAGTGCTTTCTTTCCTTAAAGTTTTCTCACCACTATTTTGTATTCATTCCTTACACTGCACATATGCTACATGATTTGCCACCCCCTTCTCCTGATTTTATGATATTTGATTACAAATACAGGTCAAAACATTTAGCAGCTATAAAGTTCATAATATTCACTTGTCAGAATATTATTATGTACCTTTATGCAGTCATCTGTTGTGTTTGTTAAAGTAAGAATATTCTCCTCAGTATTTTGTTCTCTCGCTATCTGATGCTAGAGAAATTGCAGAGGAGGTACAATATGTAAATTGCAACTGCTGTCTTCTGGGACGATATCACGTGGTCTGGTAGATAGGTATCAATAGTGCCTTTTTTCTAAAATCATGTTGGGTGGTTCACTCATGCTTGGTTAAAGTCTCAAGGTCATAAAATACAATGCACTGAAATGTGCAACTTTTGACAAATTTGGCAGTACACACCATTTGTGTTGCTCATACATATACCGACAACACGGATTAGCCTCCTGCCTCCATCTTCACTTTCACTGTTGTGCCATGAAAATGGAGACAGAAGGTTCCTTCAAAACGTTTATACCTACCTAATGAACTACAAGTCTTAACATCCCAGAAGACTGTAGTGTTCTTAGTGTCTGCCATGACACACTCAAACCTCACAGTTAAATTGAAAGAAAGATGTTATACTGCTGAAGGGCCAGATTGATAATGGTGTTTTGATTAACATTAATTTGGTATCAATTAAAATTTAATTTGCTTAATATAATAAAATTATATTAACTGAGGACTTGCCTCAAATATCTCCAGTATCATTATTTATATCATGGCCTCAGTTATGTTCACCAGCCTGTGTCTCAACTTAGTGAAAGAAATTACTTAAATTTGAACTTTTAACACAATGTTTTTCAAATAGCTCACTTAGTATTGTAACTGGCTGTGGCTGAACAAATGAGGTTCATTTCCTGGCAAGGTCAGGAGATTTTGCTTTTCTCCACTGCATCCAGACCAGCTCTAGGGCCTAAGCTGCTACCTATCCAATTGGTAATGGGGACTCTTATCACAGACATAAAGCAGCCATCTAGTGCCAAGGTAAATAATCCATGGACTAACAAAAGAATCACACAGCAGATTTAAATGTCCACATAAGAGTTAAGTTTATCTCACAAGATCTACAGTAACATGCCATCCTTTGTATTTTCATGCCTTCAAATCATCTGGCATTCTGGATCAGTATACAATACCCACCAATACAGTAATGGCAATCCCCATCTTTAGCAGTCATCAGGAGTCTGATCAGTTCTCCAGATCCAAGGAGTATGACCCTTACTTTTCTTGAAGTTTTATTAGATATAAATTACAGGGTCCATTTTCAGCATACTTCACATTACCCTTATGTGTAAAAAGCCAATGCATGCTGCTCTCTCCTTATGTTTCTTAGGGAATGATATGGGTAGGTGCAGAAGGTAACAGCATAAGTGGCACTGAGTATGCCTTAGTCAGTACCTCTAGAGAGCAGTACTACTAAGTGCATACTATTATTTCTGTAGTAAAACCAGCATTTAAAAATGGTGATAAACTCAATATTTCAAATCATAGGCCTATATCCCTATTAATTGCTTTCTCCAAGGTTTTTGAAAAAGTAATATATGCAAGACTGTATTAACATTTAAGTCAAAATGATATGCTCTTCAATGAACAGTATGGATTCAGGAGTAATTCTTCAACAGAATTGGGTTCTTTCAAATTAACAAATGAAATTTTATTAGCCATGACTAATAAAGTAACTGTGAGTGGTATATTCTGTGATCAGGAGAACACTTTCAATTGTGTAAACCATGATATATTATTATCGACACTGGGATTCTATGGGGTAGAAGGTAAATGTAACATATTAATTACCTCCTACTTAAAAGACATATCAGTGAGTGGTAATAGATAACAGAAAGACTCAGAACAATACTTCTTCTGGATAGGAGAGTCAAGCATGGAGTTTTACAAGGCTCAATTCTTGGTCCACTGTTTCTCCCTCTATATATCAATGATTTGCTTAAAATACCAACTAATAAAGCCAAAATCATTCTATATGCTGATGACACTAGTGTAATAGCATCTAATTCTAGCTCTCAAGATTTTAAAATTAATATAAAGTGTTTTTAGGCATAAATGAGTTGTTCAAAACAAACTTATTTGCATTAAATTAAAAAAGAACAACTCATTATATACAATTTAAGACTGAAAATTATTGGAAAATAATACAACAATAAGCTATAGAAATAAGTATATTAGTAAAACTTTAAGCACTAAGTTCCTTGGTCTCATATTTGATGAAACATTATCATGGAAATGTGATATTGACCAATTGGTAACTAAACTAAGTTCTGACTGTTATGCTGTTAGGATTATAAAGGATCTTATGTGAGAGAAAACTCTAAGGGTGATTTATTTCTCCTACATACATTCATTTATGACATATGGTATAATTTTCTGGGGTAATTCTCCCCATGGTATTAATATTTTCAAAATCCAAAAACATATAATCTGAATTAATGAATGCAAAAACTAGAGATTCTTGTAGGGAACTATTTATAGACATAAAGATCTTACCTCTACATTCACAATATATATTTTCTTTATCATTATTTGTTGTAAAAATAAAGACCAATATAAATCTCATCAAGAGATTCACAGTATTAATACTAGATATAGTATGAATTTACACCTACCAACATCAAGCAATGAAGTGAGACTATTTAAACTGGCCCTAAAAGATTTCTTCTTTCTAATTCATTTTATTCCTTAGACAAATATTATGATTATAATTTTAACTAATATAATTACTATACCTAATATTACTTATAATAACCACATACTTTAATTACAATTATATGTATTTGTGACTTTCTGTATTATGTATGCAAATATTTTGACTTTTTTTGATGATTTCCATATCCATGGTTTCTGTAACTGAGTTAGGATCTACAGAATGGAATAAATGATGATGAGTATCCCATCAAGACAGTATCTTAGTACAAATGTAACTGTCTTTCCAGAACTTGTCAAGTGGGTGATGCTAGATATATTTAACAAAGTTTATCTTTATAAACATAAAATATTTACCATGCAGATAAATTGTTTTCTCATAGACCTGACCTTATCCTTCCATGGAGATGCTGATAACTACAACAACTTTCCATCGAAATGTCAACAGGATTTATGCTGTTATACTAATTAGAATCAACAGCAGCATAATTATTAATTTTACAATGCACAAATGAAACCACCAACCCCATACAAATTTTCTGGTTAGTCTGACATTTTGACGACATTTCTTTCTTCACCATCAAGCAAGTCCATGGTCCAGTGATGACCTGGGGGCGCTTTCAAGTATGATAACAAATATTCTTGTGTTCTTTTCATTGCAATATTCATGCATAACAGAAACGCAGTGCTTCAGTTTGGTCTGCAAATATTCTCCCTTCTAAATTTAATGTATAAAAAGTGGGTTAGGTAACATGAATTAGAGTGGAGGATTGGAATCTCTTCCTGAATTGATCCCTTTATTAGTTCATCACTAACCTCATAGTTACTTGAGTCTGTTTGACCTAGTGTGAAATTTCCAACTTTTAATTGTGTATTATTCATTGTTGTTACTTAAGTTCACAAAGAAAGCTGGAAAATTATTACTAAACATGTTGCCTGGTAACCATTGCTTATCTGGCTTTGATGGTAAGTCTGATTCCATTCTCTGGTTTGAGCACCAGCTCAGCCAATAGGTTCACACTATCCCTGTTGTCAAGGGAATGCAGTCTGTAGTGACGCAGTATGTAGGACAAGACAGTCTTCTCCTCTAGCAGGGCAAACTTCTGACCTATGCAGTTCCTGGGACCAGCGCTGAAGGGGATGTAGGCATAGGGGTGTCTCTTTGCTACCCTCTCTGGCAGGAAGTTGTCAGGGTCGAACTTCTCGGGGTTGGGGAACTGATCCGGATTCCGATGAAGGAAGTAGATTTGTGTGAGGATTGTACATCCAGATGGGATATCGTAACCCGCTATAACATGCACATCAGATACTGCTATGATGAACTGGTACAAATGGGGAAGGAATCATTTTCAAATTGTATTAAGGCAAGGTTTCTCAAACTATCATTTGCAGTCCTCCAGGGCATCATGACCTACAACAACCAGGGCTCCAAAATTCTCAAGAATTATACACAGTATAGCTGTATCCATGCACAGTTTTGGCAAGTCAGTGAAGATTTATTTAGGTGCTTTTGAAAAACGCAGCTGCAGCTGGACAAACGTTTTGCTGTGAATTTTCTCGTGACTCTAGAGGAACATTCTGTAGCTTACTGTAAGTGTACAGAAGGTTCTGCTGCCACTGTACAGCCTGACAGGGAAGTGAAGCAATGTGCAAAACTGCAATATTGACAAACTGACAGAAATGGAGGGTTCCATAAATTGATATATTACCTAAGAGGGTCAAATTAACAAACAGTTTCAGAATGTATGCCTTATGCTATCATGCCAGCAATTTTAAAAGCTGAAACATGGTGAGTTAGTGGATATGGAGGTTGTGCTTCCAGAATGATGATCAGGTTCCTAACAGAACCTATCAACGGGGACAAACTAGAAATGCCTCTGTATGATTGTGTCAATATTAAAAGTAAATTCCTACCTTCACCTTAGCCAGACAGGCAGAGGCCAAATGATGAAGTACAATCAGCATTACTAATATCAAAGTCTGCCAATAGACAAGATCCTAAGCCAGTCCTAACCACCTCACATTGACTCAGCCTATTTCCCTAGATCCAGCTCAGAAATTCACTAACTCTATGGTAGCAGAACCCAAATATTCAACACCGTTAATATAACACCAAAGTCTACCACTGGTCATGATCCTGAGCCAGTACCATCCACCTCCCATCCTTACAGCCCATTTTCCTAAGATCCACCTTACTAATTAACTAAATCTGGTGGGGTAGATCATTGATGTTCAACACTGCTAATGACAGAGCCTGCCACTGAACAAGATCCTGTACCAGTTACAACCATTCCCTTCCTCATAACCTATTTCTGCAACATCAATCTTCCATTTACTTCTTCGATGTCCAGGCAGCTGTTTCCAAGGATCTCTATACCAAAATTCTTTATGTGTTCCTTATGTTCCTATCCTAACTAACTACCAACAAATGTAGGCCCCTAAAGGAATGCACTGTAAAAAAAAGGAATATTGCAGAATGGTGTAAAAATTTTAGCTACACTTTAGAAGGAACTGGACAGCTTCTAGCAATATTTATATAATATTAAATACAAAAGATTAGGATACGTTAGTAAGTAAGCAAGTAAGTAAGAAACTAAATCATAAATCATCATTCAGAACATATCTTACTAGATTACAAATTCACAGAATTATTTTATGAATGAAAACAAAAATATACATATATTTGCAGGGGAAGAAAAATGTGGGTTTTGAATAAGGCAGACTACCGATGTTCAGAAGCAGCAGAAATTAAATATCTTACATCATGGTTGGGTTTTAGAAAATTGGATTAATAAAGAAATAGAAATATAAGGAAAAGACTGCATGTCCAAAATATAGTACAGAATATTATGTGATGATCAGAACAACTGCAAGAAGTCATGTTATAAAAAACAAAGAAACAGACTATCAAAGCTGGCACTCACAAAAGAGACAGAGTTCATCCCATAGAGAGATGAAATAATTAATTTAGTGGATGAGATCTGATGGAACAGGGTTTTCATGAACCTAAACATGTAACTGCAAGTCACAGTGGCCATGTTGTCTATGAAGTACACCGTCTTCTACTGTCTGAACACAGGGATCTTGGGTTTCAATCTCACTCAGGGCATGGACATGTTCAACATTTTTTCTCAGGTTGTGTTATTCTTTGTAGGTAGAGATATTGTGACAGGCTGATCTCCCATTCAGGGAGGCCTATCAAATGTCTACAACCAAGATTTAAAATCCAGAACACAGAGACCTTCAATCACGTTAATCTGTAGTGCCATGGAAGAATAAGAAGAAATATACAGTACTTCAAGAAAGAGGAGGATGAATCATGTTTAATTATACAGTACATTACCTATCTTCACATCCTTGTTGAGTTTCCTAGCGACAGATGGAACACTGGGATACAATCTCAGGGACTCCTTGATGACCCTCTCAAGGTACTTCATTTCACTGAGGTCCTTCATGGTGACTGTACGGTCTGACCCCTGGAAGATGCTCTCCTGCTCCTGGTATGCCTTATCCTGTTGAGGATGCAAAGATTCTTAGGTATAAGCTATCAAAATACCCAAACAAACCCGCAAGACCATGAGAACTTACTTGAACATCGGGATGCAGTCCAAGAAGGAACAAGGCCCAGCACATTCCAGCACTTGTTGTGTCATGGCCCTGTGGTACAGAAAGGTAGGTCAGTATCAGACTTATTTCCTGCGCATTCCACACCTTCAAGAAGAATGAATAGATGTATCTGACATGAAGCATGACCTAATATGAATTAAGAGACTTCTTCCTGAACATCCAGGTTAGTAATAATTACTCAGGTCCTAGATATTATCCATGCATGAAACGAATGTACAGATGGTTGGCATGGTATATCAAGGATTAATTAAATCCTTCCCCTCTCACCTCTCAAAGAATTAGGTGTTAACTACATTTTCCTCAAACAGACTTCCAGTTTACCAAGTCTAAGAAACAACATCTGTCACTGGAATGAATGGCTGATGAGCTTCCATTAATGCCTCTCATTCAAAATTATACTTAGCAAAAGGACCCAACATTTAAGGGCCAAATCTGTGTTAGCCTGTGAAGAGGATATGGATGCTTACATGCATACCTCCACAGATTCTGAGAATTGCTACTTGCCGAGGATAGCTCTGCCAGCATCCCTTGTCCCTTGTGTCCTTATCATGGCCCTTGGTGAGGCAAAAGTTAAAGTTCTCTGTGATCAATTTAGAACCATATCAGGAAGATGTCTGCAGAAATGTAAATTAGCTTCATGCTCCATCCACTTTAATCCTGGGGAAACAGCCCCTGGTGATCTTTGGATAGGAGGCTGCCTGGGCCTCAGAACCAGTCTGGATGCTGTGAAGAATCAAATCCTGACTTCCCATTTGTCAAGCCCACAGCATAGCGACTATATTGACTGAGCTATCCTGGCTCCTACACTATGTATCCTACATATTTCTAAGAGATTTCTGAACCTCAAACATGAATGTGTCCACTTCCTCTCTCAGTTCCTCATCTGTCAACCTGATGCCATCATTTGAGGCCTCCAGCAACAGATCCAAGAAGGCCTTCCTCCTCTTCCTGCCACCTGCAGAAGTGAAAGCAGTGCAAGCTATGAATCTTTACAAACTGCTGAACATGTGTCTCTGCCATATACGTCACAATATACAATGCAAATACACAAGAACTGTTACTCCGTACATGTACACTACTTCCCTAATTGTTTATATGTCCACAGACACCCAACATGAAAACTGAACACTAATTGAAGCCTTTGCCATGCCCTACCTCAGGCAGTTAAAGACAAAGTTGTCCCTGTGCTTAATTAATTAAGCATTATGCCATGGAGACAAACAGGAGAGTGTCCCACACCTGCTGCCTTATCCTTGGGGAAACAGCACCCAGTACCCACTGGACACAGGCTGGGTGGACCCCAGAGCGAATATGGACACTGTAGAGAAGATAAAAATCTTGCCCTTCCAGGAATCAAACCATAGACATCCAGCCCATTGGCTGTTTTTATATGTCCTGCATGTTATGTGACGGTCAGCAGGTTAGTACAGAGCAGTTGCAGTGGTAGTTATTCCCATTGAGAAGTGTATGGCAAGTAGAATTCTTGAGTCACTGGTAAACTCATCCAACATTTGTTAACCCCTGAGTATTTATTAATGATTTATTCAACAACCTGTCAGTAATGCCAACTGTAAGGCGTGAATGGCGGAGTGATTTTTAAGGAACGAACTGGAAAGGCTCTGGGAAGGAGTGGCTGTCTTAACATGAGGTACAATCCCGGTACTTCACTGAAGGGACTGAGGAAGACTATGAAAAACTTTAGTCAGGATAGATATACTGCAGGAAGAGGTTTGTAACATGGGCACTCCCAGATGAAACACAGGAGTGGTACCCCTCAGTAAGTCTGAAGTTGCAGATCGGAAGATTCTGTTGCTAGTTCACTCACTTATGGAAATATCCTCTTCAGTTTGTGGGAAGGACGGTTTGCTGGACACGTTGCTAAGTAATGCCTTGCGCTCTTGGATCACCTGAAACATTATACAGCCCAGTAATTACAGTCTTCATATGGTGCCTAATAATATTTATGAACGACAGTAACAAATCAAAATTTGATCCAGGAGGAAGTCAAGAAAACAGTGAATTCGGGTAATTCTTGCTACCATTCAAACCAGAATCTTTTGTCTCTTCGTCTTCTGTCTAAAAACGTAAAAATCTGAATATACGAAACTATGATTTTTCCTCTGGTTTTTATGGGTGTGAAACATGGTCTCTGATATTAAGGGAGGAACACAGACTGGGGGTGTTTGAGGATAGGGTTCTGAGTAGAATATTTGGGATGAAGAGAGACGAATTGATAGAGGTTGGAGAAAACTTCACAGAGAGGAGCTTCATAACTTGTATTCTTTGCCAAGTATAATCAAAATGATCAAGAAAAGGAGCATGAGATGAGTAGGGCATGTACCACACATTGAGTAGAAATGAAATGCATATAGGATTTTGGTGGTAAAGCCAGAAGGAAAGAAAGCACTAGAAAGACCTAGACATAGGTGGGGGGATAATATTAAAATGAATCTTAGATAGATAAGATGGGGTAGAAAGGACTGAAATCATCTGGCTCATGGTAGGGACCAGTAGAGAGAGGGCTGTTGTAAACATAGTAATGAACCTTCGGTTTCCATAAACTGCTTAGAAATTCTTGAGTAGCGACTGGCAGCTTCTCAGTATTGAATGGGATATAACTGATGAATCAAAAGGGATTCAGAAGGAAGCAGTAGGGGCATAACCAGTGTACTATCCTGGAAACTTGCCTCAAGGAACTGAGGAAAATCACATAAAACATCAGTCATGATGACCAGTGTCCCAGCCATGATGTGAGATGAGCATGTCCCATATACAAAATTTAGACTGTTAACACTTCAGCAACCCGTTTAGTTCCAGTTTGTAGGATAAGTGTGAATGATGGACTGCAAAATATGTGGAAGGGTAAGGTTGTGGCGTAATTTGAGGTACTATCCCAGAATTGGTCCAGAGAGACATCTAAATCCTTTCCAATTCATCATTTACTCTCCGCCTATTGCTATACTGCTGCAGTATGAGCTACTGGCAACACTGTTAAATAAACCATACATAAACAAATCACAGATGTATGCATTCTTAAGCTTGGCACTAGATGGAAATGAGTGGTCAGCTTCACACCCTGGTCACCTAACTCTGGGGAAGAAAGCCCCCAGTATCCACTCAACAGGAGACTGGGTAGGGCATATGACATATGAAGATTTTAGTCTTCTGCTATGTAGTGGTGTGTAATTTAGTACATAAGTACTGGCGTTTCATAGGAATGTGCTTCATCCATCTTCATGGTAGATGAATACCTAATTCTGTCTCAAATCTTACAGAAATAAGTTATTATTTATAGGAAAGATAATGAGGCATCTTAATTACTTCACCTTGTTGGTAAATCCATGAAGCACACCAAGACACTGGTCACTTCTTTTTCCTAAAGCCGACAGCCTGAAGATGAAGTCATAATGCAGCCACGGCCGAAATATGCGGTTCACTATGATCTCACTCAAGCTGCAATATGGAAGTTGAGGCATACTTTGGCCATTCTTGCATTCAATTTTGCCTGCTTCATAGGACTCACTACATAACTAAGTAACTAAATGATCTGAGAAAGATATACGCCAATGCCTTATATATTATACCAATATTCTGTCAGACAATGGCAATTTTTCTGAGGTATATCTGATACACACAGCACTCTGGGAGTTCACGGTACTCCCGTTCTCAGACGACTGGTTACCATTATACAGGTAAAGGTAAAGTTGTCCATGTTTAATTAATTAAGACATTATGTGGGGAATCCTTAACCTCAGCAGCAGATGGAGGAAATTGGCTGGCTTCACACCCTGGCCACATCACCCCAAGAGAAAGAGACTCCAGTATAGACTGGTTAGGAGGCTGGCTGCACCCCAGAGCCAGCCTGGATGCTGCAGAGAGGCTAACATTAAACAGAGAAATTTAAAAAATATTTTATTTCAACATCATTTTGACATTAGTGGTGACAGTTGGAATCAACCCTGGAACCTACTGCATACTAGGCTAGTAGTCTAGGTGTTATCTCACTAGCATAATTTTTTAAAGGTCATAGGGTTACTCTGAATAATCTCTCTACATAATAAAACTGTTCTGCTGACACAGTGTGAGGTTATGCTAACACAGTGGGCCACCAGAGCACAGCATGTGTTTGCACACAGTAGTACCAATATGATCAATCAATAATAACTTCTCTGTCATTATTTTCAAGAAAAAGACTTACTCAGAAGCACTTCCTAAACCTCTATACTGTATTTTTTTTAAGTACTGTGTGTTATTATACAAGTACATGTATCAAAGGGTTGATGATAATTTTACACATTTAAACACAACTGCACAACAAACAGCTCACAAAATGCACATTACTTAAAGAGGCTGAGGCTTCACTCTCAAATAGGGGGGCCTAAAATTAAATATGTTATAGGTCCTTAACTTCTGACATTACAGTCTTTAAAAAAATGCCACTGTTGTGCCCTGGCACTCAAAAAAGCATCTGGGTGTTGCCCTGATTCATCAACGGCCCTGCTCAAATTTAAGCTCTATTTTTGAGAAGCAACATTTCAGACTCATAAACAGTACAGTCAGTAGCACAGGGCAGCAGTAGTGAAAGGATGAGTATCCAGTAGATGAACTCACTCATAGACAGCCTTGACATAGTCCGAACCTCTCTCATCTTGAGCATGTGTTGATGTACCCATTGCAGTCTCTGCAACATCAAGACACAGTCAAGTAATGACTGTTAGGCAAGTTTCAACTCACATTTATGTGTAAAAATGTATGATGCATATTCTTGTAAAATAAAAGGTGCCTATGCTTACCACAGATAATGTCCAGGGCACACTTGGTGATGTACGGATATATGTTGAAGCCCTGGGATCCAACTTCCTTCTGCAACTTGCTGACCAGGATCTCACTCTTGTCTGAGAACACTTCCACAAAGCTGTCCAGGATACTGAAGTGGAATGTTGGTGTTATCATCTTCCTGTGTGTATGCCATTTCTGACCTATGGTTGCCAATAAGCATCAGACATAGTCGCTGAGGAACTAAGATGTTGAGGTAAACTCAGGCAGAATATAGTTTTAGTGCAATAATTTGGCTTCTATCTGCCTGAGTTATGGAATGATCTAGTTACAAATAAATGGTGAAAGAATAATTTGTGGAAGCTTTATCATATCTGTCACACATGTAGAAACAAGTATATAATTGGGCACTGGGTTCCAGACTCACAGATGTGACTGTCAAGAGTACTGGGATGTGACAGTCTCACATATGTTCAATGAAGTTTCACAGGAACATACTGCCTCTATCTTCAGTGTCAAAGTTATGCTAAGCAGACAATGAGAATGAAGCAAGCACCAACTCTTATCTTTAAAACATTAAGAAATTTTTTATGTGGAGTTTGTCATTTTTTTTATATCTTTTTTATGTACCCTGTCTACAGGGAGATGGAATAGGACAGTCCTGTGTACCTGTGGAAGTGAGCAGACCAGTTCCAAGCCAGGGATGGAGTAACCTGTAAAAATGACCTTTCTCCAGGTGGTCACTGCTCTTCAGAATCACCTGAAACAGATAATAGAATCAGATCACCTGCTATTCATACAGATCCTGTTGTGTAGCCTGATTATTTAGCACCAAGGAGGAAACTAATTAACTAACTAACCTTACAGAAGAGTCCTTAATGAGACCTGAGTAACAGTTCTTTCTTGGGGGGCATTATTTTATGAATATGCAGTGTCAAATGACAGGATGATGAATGAATGAGGGAGTAGAAAGGATAGGAAATGACTGTGGCTAAATCCAATGGGCTATCCTAGCATTCACTCAGACAAAATGAGGGAACCCACGCCAGATCTCAGTCACAACAGCTGATGTTCAGCCCAAGATTTCAACCAAGCACCTTCCAAATATAAGTCACTCCTACACAACCCAATCGATGACTTCTGTTAGTATCAGTTTCTTGTGAGGCTAACAGTCACTCACCTACTCAAGAAATTCTCAGTATTTTATGTGCACCTGAAAGTTCATTATCCCATTTACAACAGTACACAATTTGTCTTTATCCTGAGTCAAATTAATCCTGCCTTCTCCTTCCCATTACATGTTTAAGACCAATTTTAATATTATCCTCTAATCTACATGCAGATTTTATAATCAGTTTCTTTCCTTCTGATTTTCCTACCGTATTCTATATGCATTTCTCTTCTCCCCCATACATGCTACATTCCTCACCCATCTCACCCTTCTTGATTTCCTAATAACATGAGGACAGGAGTACAAATTATGAAGCTCCTTGGTACTTCATACATGAAAGTGTAAACTGTGAAGATAGGCTGGAGTGAAAGGGAGAAACAAGCAATGTGATTAAGAAGAATTAAAGAAGCAAATAAGAGGAGAATGAGGAAAAGAAATAAAGAAACAGAAGGATAACATAAAGAAAGATATATACAAAAATAATAAATATACAAAGGCAAAGCTATCCCTGTGCTTAATTAAGCACCAGGCCATGAGGATGTATGGGAGAATGACAGTGTAACTCCACAAAATCTTAACACCTCACAACTGGATGGAGGTGAGCCATTAGCATGACGCTCCTGCCACTTTATTGTCTGGGAAAGTGCCCCCAGTGCCTGGCCCCCAGAGCCAGTCTGCATGCTCTGGAGAAGAAAAGAATCACCTGTCCATGGAGGCAATTGGACCCAGACTTCCACAGCAAAGTTACTATACTATCAGAGCTACACTGGCTCAGTAGATAATATGAGGAAGAAGTTGAGAAAAAAAGGACTGCAGTGACATGCTGCAAGACCAGAGGTTACCATGTGGTGAGCGTCCTCTGGGATGTAATGCTGTGCGTTCTCTATTTGAAGTTGCTGTCAGTGCTTCACATCATACAGCATCGGATATTATGGCAACAAATTAAGATTTTGTAGATGTGGAAGGAAGGGGTCTTGGCCTATCTCATATACTACAAAAGTGTCTACCAAGACTGAGGAAAATCAAGCCCATGTTCTGGCTGAGATTCATACTGAACACCTTCCAAATACGTACTTGGTTTTGTCAATAGTCTGACAGGCATAGACACTGCCTCCATCTTCAGGGTACAAAACGTTGGTATCTGTCTATAGAGGTACATGGTATCACATTCCAAAATCAGTATTCTTTAGTGACCACACTGTTCCTCACCTCGACGTCTTCTGGCCGTAGAAGGTGTATATTTGGCACACTTCCATTCCAAGAGCGGAAGATTGGCCTGAAGGTGTTATGGTTTTCTGTGATATACTTGAATGTCTCTGTTAACAGGAGAACACTTGTTTAGGGGAGATTGCATGCCTGTTCTGTTATAACATAGGCAGGACTGAATTCAAGGCAGAGAGTGCCTATACTTTTTTCATGTTCTGAGATGCTCTGTGAGACTCATTTTAAAGATGGTGAAGTCAAACATAACGAACTGTTAATAAAAATTAACAAAACTTGAATATTTTTTGTTACTGTCTCATTTGAAGAGTATAATTTCAGTTCAATAATATATAAAATATTATCATCACAGGAACACTTTAAAGGAGAAATTTAGAAGTATCTTTGTTAAAAGTTGTACATACATCAGACTATAAAAACTTGTGGCTTGTTTAGTTTTTATTTTCTTGTTTGACGTGGAAGAATCGTCATCTTTTATTATCTACATTTCAAAGCATATAACTGCCCTTATGTGAATGGTGAGAATGGCATCATAATATGATCCAAGGCCATTTCTTTAAATCTGGAAGTGCGTTCTGAACTGCCCCCAGACTTATGCTTTTAGCATGACACCCATGGACATAAGAACATCAGTTTGGATGAACTGTCAGTCTTCCTGCTTTTATACCAAACTAATTTTATGAGCTGTTGTCTTACTTCCGATAACAAGATTGGAAAGAAGATTATAGTCTTCTGGGATATGTAGTGTGTAGCCTGGCAGGGTGTAGGACACTTCCAGTGTTTTTTTTAAATATACAGTAAATCCTCGTTAATCCGGATTGATAGCTAAGGTCATCCAGATTAGCAAAGAAAAAGGTAGCCCTAAGAGACAAAAAACTTACAACACAAATGTATGGAGAATTTAATGATATAAGTAATGCTGATAAAAATAAATAAAAGATTATTATGAAAGATGTAAAATTGTCCCTTTGCTTAATTAAGCACTAAGCCATGAAGGTGTATGGGGGAGCTGAGTAGAGATTACATTTTCTTGACCTTGGTATTAGTTGGATGTGAGTGGTCAGTTTCACACCCAGGCCAGTTCACCACGGAGGAAAGAGCCCCCAGTACCCATAGGATAAGAGGCTGGTTGGGCCCCAGAGCTGGTCCAATGATTCAGTGTTTTTATTTGTTATCTTAAAAACCAGGACGATGGATAAAGTCCAAAATCCCAACATATCAATACATTTATTCATCGATAGAAGGCCCAGAAGCTGTACTTGCTTTTGAACGTAATAATGCAACCGTCAAGTTTTGTCTGAATAGACAAGGGACTCATCTGCCTTCCTAAATGCCATGTGTCTTTTGATGCATGTACTCAACTGTGAACAGCATTTTTCTATTTTGATTCAGATTATCTGACATCTGGGTCAACTGTAACCAGACTAGCAAGAGTTTACCATACCGTCCCCACCTTCAAAGCATCTCACATCTCAGAAGACAGTAAGTAATCTTTATAATTATTGTTATGAGGACCTCCAGTCTCACAAGACTGATAAGTGTATGTGTACTATATTGTGAAATGTCTATGTACTATACTTCTGAATGCATTCCATAGCACAGCAGTCAACATTCCCAAAGCCCTTCTTTACATTTTGTTAAAGTTTACTTATGGCCTTACTAAAGTCAACCTGATAATGGATCACCTACGGATCTGAGTCCTTGCTGAGAAGCCTACCAGTTGTTCAGCCACTCAAGAAACTCCACAGTACCGCTGCAAGAATAATTTGACACACTGCACAGTAATATGCAGTTGCAGGGGTAGGCGTTGACATAACAATGAGTGTTCTGCTAGGGATAGACTTCTGGCACAAAATCTACTTACCATTTCTCTTAATAAACAAAAACGGCAATGCTGTGCCGAATATGGGATACTGTGTTGGTCCATGCAGCTTGTTAACCAGCCTGGCAATCTTTGCCTTCCTCTTGTCAGCAGGCAGAAGGAAAAGAACAGCTATGATGAACAGGGCTGCTCCTAGCAGGAGCGTGACTGCCTCCATGGTAATCTGTGCCTGGGATGAGACAAAACAAAAGATGCCATGTATATTCTGATCGGTATTATAACCCTAAAGGTATGTAACCCCAAGGACTGTTGTCAGTAATTCGGATTACATATCAAAAGCAGAAAAACTATGACTTGCGAGCCATATGCAGCTCTTTTGAACCATTAGTGTGGGTTGTGGAAAGAAAAACGTTAGGTGAAGAATGTGAGACGTCTAGGTTCTCACATTTTCTAGACAATCGGCTCACAGATGACAGTGAGTATGTCAGCCATATACGCCGACCGCCCTTTACCCCCAGGAAGATTCCTGGTACTCATTTCTGTTAGAGGCTGAGTCGTACCCAGGGCCATGATGTGTCTGGAAGAATCACGTAAATTGAAAAATCCAGTGACCTCATCGGGAATTGAACCCGCAACCTTCCGGCCTGTAACATAGTGGCTCAACAAACTACGCTACCGCGTTCACCACAAAACCATTAGTCAATCCCTTATTTAGACAAGGATTCAATACATGAAAAAATCCCCCGTAAAAGAAGTCTGTACCTGAACACCTGCGCTGTCCAATCCACGGCGGTCTGCGTTTCTCTCACTTCTGGAACTTACCAAAGGCTGTTCCGATGTTCAGCAAGTTTCGTCACTCCTGCTGCATGGTAAGGGAAGGTGCAGGTTAGCACAGAGGTAACGCGATTTCCTCGTATTCAGGAGTTGACTGGTTCAGATATTTAACTTTTTTTCAGTACATTTAATCAGGCCACGACGCCTCAGGCCGGACACACGCATGCGCGTCCCTCTGTAACGTAACAGTACTTCGACTCGTACGTTAGAGCGTATAGTTTCGTAAGAGAGGGTCGCATATTCGTGATCCACCAGATGTTCGCAGCTGATGGTCGAACATGCGCTCACAAGCAGTTACTGCAGCTTTCATACTCATGCATCACATTTTGTCGCAGATTAAGAAACGAAGGAAGCAGTGGGAAACGCAGTTGTGTAGAACTGTGTACAGCGGTTCGAGTTTGTTAGCGCACCTCACGTTCCCAGAAATTAGTGCTAAAGGTAAAGGCAAAGATATCCCTGTATCAGGCCGTGGAGACCCATAGGGTTGTGAGGCGTCCAGGCTCCCACGTCTAGACAATCGGCTCACAGATGACGGTGAGGTTGTTAGCCTTACGCGCCGGCCGCCCCTTACCTCCAGGAAGAATCCTGGCACTCCCTTCTGTTAAGGGCTGAGTCGATCCAGTTCCGAATGGAAGGATTAGGTCAACTGAAACATTCAATTACGTCATCGGGAATCGAACCCGCGACTTTCCGGCTTGTATCATAGTGCCTCAACCAACTACGGTACCGCGTAGTGGACAACAGAAAAATGTTACTCGTATGTCACCAGCAAATTTTGAATTCCTGATTAATTTAAACGTCCGAAATGCGAACACGGATATCACATACAGAACAGCTGTTCCCAGTTAAAGTGAGGCTGCAAGTTACACTGCGGGGTTTGGCTACGTGCGATTAGCTCACCAGTCTGCAGCACCCTTTCAAATTTCTGAAACAAGCAATCGGCCGGATTATTGCAGTAGCCCGCAGCCTTCGATAACTCTTCCCGATCTTCACAATTAGTGGGTTTATTGTACTACTGGGGATATGTTGGATCCCAGAGCAGGGGCTTAGCTTTGAACAGTTCTATGAAAGTTAACATACTTCGTTATTCCACTCTATTCAAAATTACAACACACACACACAAAAAGGGGAACATGAAAAATAGAGTGGGAGACATAACAAGGACCCCACCACGAACAGTTGTCAACTGGCGAAATAGCGCACAAACACGTACATTACTTATTTACTTACTTACTTTTTTTATTGCTAGTGGAGTGGGACTAAGTCCCTTGTACTGCGGCCACTTCTGGCCTATTGCACCAGCCCCAGATGATAGGTGAGGGTGATTGTGGAGCAATTGGTGGGATGAAGATTGGCAGGGGAAACCGAAGTACTCGGAGAAAACCTGCCCCAGCGTCACTTTGTCCACCACAAATCCCACTTCACCAGACCCGGGATAGAACCCGGGCCGCCGCCATGGGAAGCCAGCGACTAACCGCTTGAGCTATGGCGTGACCCTATTTACTTACTTATGGAGCTGAACCCTTCTCGAGGAGAAGCCAAATCTGCAGCTACTCAAGACTCTCCCAGCATTTTATGGAACCAGAAGGTTCATTACCGTGTTCACAAGAGCCCTCCACTGGTCCCTATCCTGAGCCACATCAGTCCAATCCATACCATCGCCTCCTATCTCTCTAGGATCCATTTTAATATTGTCCACCCACCTACGCCTTGGTCTTTCCAGTGATCTCTTTCCTTCTGGCTTTCCCACCAATACCCTATATGCATTCCTTCTCTTCCCCCATTCTTGCTACATGCCCTGCCCACCTCATTCTCCTTGACTTGATCATTTTAATTGCACAAACACGTACATATGTGCTCTAATTATACAATGTAACATCTTTTGATGCTCGCTGCAAAACAGACATTTGTGTATGCCGCGCCGCGAACCGAACCAAGTGCAAATGATACAGTAACACCGTACAGACTTGTTATACCATGACAGAACGCTTAAATGTTTATCCGGCTTCACAAAAAAAAAAACTATTATCTCCTCTTATCTACCATTGTGCCATATCTCTCCACAACTTAGCAAACAAGCGTTAATTTTATAGGATGGAGTTACCTGAGGGTTTGTTTACTTCCAACGACAACATAACACAACGAACTGCACTAGTCTGACCAGATCCCCGCTTATGTATCTGTGACGCAGCTCCTTTATTGTGCTGTTTCATGGTGATCTTCCAGTCTGCAGTGGGTGGGCATATTCGTAGGGTATTACTGACCTTAGTGACGGGTCCACTTCGCTTCTGCCACGTGACGGTTCTACTGTAAGGCTGTGATGCATTCTTCAAGGCCATGACTCACTAAATTCCGTTCCTACCCCTGCAACGCAGCTGGTTGTCCGCGCCATAGCTCAAGCGGTTAGTCGCTGGCTTCCCACCACGGCGGCCCGCGTTCGATCCTGGGTCTGGGTCTGGTCAAGTGGGATTTGTGGTGGACAAAGTGGCGCTGGGGCAGATTTTCTCCAAGTACTTCGGTTTCCCCTGCCAATCTTCATTCCACCAACTGCTCCACAATCACCCTCACTATCAGCTGGGGCTGGTACAATAGGCCAGAAGTGGCCGCAGTACATTTAGTCCACCCCGCTAGCAATAAAAAAAAAGGCGTAGTTGGTTGAGGCACTATGCTACAAGCCGGAAGGTCGCGGGATCGAATCCCGATGAGGTCATTGGATTTGTTTCAATTGACCTAATCCTTCCAGCCCCACTATGGTCCTGGGGTTGACTCAGCCTCTTAACAGAAATGAGTACCAGGAATATTCTTGGAATATTCTTGGGGGTAAACGGCGGCCGCGCGAAGGGATGACAACCTCACCGCCATCTGTGAGCCGATTGTCTAGAGAATGCGGGACCCTCAACGTCTAACAACCCTATTGGCCTCCATGGCCTGTTACAGGGATACCTTTACTTTACTTTACTTACCACACTCAACATATCCGTGTAACATTCTAGGCTCGTACGGGGCGGCGCATTTTATGCGAAGGATGCATTCATGAAGACCTCCACAATTCAAGAAAAGTTTTCTCGTAGGAATAAATTCGCATGACGTGACACACTTTTTGATGTCGCACTATTTCAAATTCGCATAAAATGCGACCGCCCTGTACTCGAGAGTGGCTCGGTCAGGATCTCAGCCGTGACAGCGCCACTCCTGAGGTCTTCTGTGATTTTTAGGAGAGTAGATGAATAGATCCACGTTTTCTTGACCTCAGCACTAGTTGGAGGTGTGGTCAGTTTCACGGACCGGCCGCTTTAGCCCCGGGGAAACAGCCCCTAGTACCCACTGGATAGGAGGCTGAGTGGGCCCCAGAACCTTGACCATGCCGGGACTCGAATTCTGACCACTCGGCCGTCCAACCGGTCCAGCCCGTTGCCAGTTGCTCTACCGACTGCGCTGTCCGGCTCCTATTTAGGAACAGTACCTCAACTAAGTCCCCGCCGTTTCTTTCCAAATTGTTCCCCATTCACTGGTCACCACTTGTCCTGTCATTTGTCCCTATACGGACAGTTGCACAGCCTTCCTTCCGAGACCAACAGGCTAATGTTCTTTGGGCAAATAAACAGCTTGTTCTGAAAATCACACAAAACCCATAAACAAAAAACAAACTCCGTGGCTTTAGTCCGCAAGCGAACTATACCGACCGAGCGACCACCGCTTGTCGGCGAAGTCAGTGCCAACTTTAGCGGATAGAGGGTGTCGCGTGGTCAGCGCAACGAATCCCCACGCCCGTTAATTTCCGTCTTCTAGACCGGAGCCGCTATTTCCTTGAAATAGGTCCTTAATTATCCTCACGAGGCTGAGTTGACCCCGTTCCCGACCCACTACTTCCCAGAAAATCTGGTAGCGTCGGGAATCGAACCCGGACCTCTGGATCTGTAGTCAGGAACTCTGACCACTAGACCACAGAGGAAGTCCACACAAAACCCTTAAATACGAATAAATTACAATGCGTGGGAACAATGGGGAAGATTTTCTTACGTTAAAGCACCCGGTATGATTACGCGAAGGTTGGTATTAAATTATGCAACCTACATACGACAGAGGATAAGATGGGCAGACATATAGCACGCATGGGGAGAAGAAGAATGCATATAGGATCTGATGGGAAAGCTAGAAGAAAAGAGACTTCTAGGAAGACCCAGACGTAGGCGGGAGGATATTAAAATGGGTCTCAGAGAGATATGGTGCAGTGGTATGGAATGGATTGATCTGGCTCAGGATAGGGACCAGTTGCAGATTTCTTGAGAATACGGTAATGAACCTTCGGGTTCCATAAAATGTTGGGAAATTCTTGAGTAGCTGAGCGACTGGCGGCTTCTCAATAGGACTCAGTTCCGTCAAGTTCGTTAGTTGGTTAGCTACGCACGAGTACGATGACCCCGAGGCGGTGCACATGGGAGATGTGAATGACCTGAGAACTTGCGGTTTGTAAAGTTACCCACTCTGACGCAGAACGAACAGCGGGGTTGGGGGGCGAGAGGAGTGTGAGGAATGTAGAGCAGTGTAAGATCCGAGGTTTTCATGGTGGTGACCGTAGTGACTATGAAGAAAGCAGTCTTCTGGGATGTGGCACCGTGTAGATGTGATGTTAACCGACCTTTCGCCTCCATCTTCAGGGTAGATGGAACAATAAGAAATCCGCAAGCGAAGAGACCGTGAGAACCGGTACAAGCAGACAGCGGTTCTCACGGTTTCTTCGCTTGCGGATTTATTGTACTTTCTACCCTGAAGATGCAGGCGATACGTTCCTCCGAAACGTCGGTTAACACCACATCTACACGGTGCCACATCCCAGAAGTCTGCTTTCTTCAATGTAGAGCAGTGTTTCTCCACCGCTGGGCCACGGCGAGGTATAATAATGATAATAGCATGTAAGAGATTACTCTTCTCAAAGTATAATTAGAATGATCAAGTCAAGGAGGATGAGGTGGGCAGGTGTTGTAGCACGAATGGGGGAGTCGAGGAATGCGTATAGGATATCGGTGGAAAAGCCAGAAGAGACCACAGGGAAAAGCAAGGCGTAGGTGGGTGGACAATATTAGAATGGATCTTAGAGAGATAGGATGGGATGGTATGGATTGGATAGATCTGGCTCAGGACAGGGACCAGTGGAGGGCTCTTGTGAACACGGTGATGAACCTTTGGTTCCATAAAATGCTGGGAAATTCTTGAGTAGCTGCAGAATTGGCTTCTCCTCAAGAAGGGCTCAGCTCCATGAGTAAGTAAGTAAGTAACATGTAAAAGTAAAGTAAAGTAAGGCTATCCCTGTAACAGGCCGCGAAGGCCCACAGGGTTGTGAGATGTTAAGGGTCCCACATCACCTTGACAATCGGCTCAAAGATGGCAGTAAGGTTATCAGCCTTACGCGCCGGCCGCGCTTTACTCCCCAGGAAAATCATTTAATTAATTCCTGGTACTCATTTCTGTTAGAGGCTGAGTGAACCCCAGGGCCTAGTGCGGCCGGAAGGATTAGGCCGACTGAAAAAAAAAGTAACATGTAATAGAATTAAAAGAATTACATAAAGGAGGAAGCAGGAACAGAAAAAAGATGACTGGAATGAAGAGGGCAAAGAGGAAAGCATAGGCGGAGGAGGAAAAGAATGTAGAGGAGAGGAGGGGATCAAGTAGTAGTAGAAAAAGAGAAATCCGAGAAACTCATTCGAACCCATTTTGTGTATTTTTATCACACATGGCGTGAGTCTTAATTACATACATCAAATGCAATAAAAGCATCGTGTTCTACACTCACAGGCAAGCTGAAACGTTCATGTAAATACGATAACAGAGTTGCGAGATGTTGCAGCGGGAAACACGACGAAAGTACACAAGGACAGAAGAGTTTATTACGTACAAACAGTACGGCATCTGGCCGGTTGGTGTGCCCTCAACCTTACAGTCACTCCAGAACCAACCCGTTATGTCAAGAATTCATGGTCCACTGGAAGATTTCGGACATGTCGCATATTATGCGTACAGTGCTGTCTCACAGTTGCCATGTCTCACTAACAAAGCGGTTGAGACCATGTTACCCTACTTCATAGTAGGTTTATGCGATCTCCATGCTGTCTGTCTGTGAATCACCTCCTGTAAACTTGTCGAGTGCCTGAACAAATCTTTATGAAACTTGGTATGTATACCATGGGACCTGAGGCAGTCTCAACAATGAACTTCTTAAATCCCTCCCATCAGACTTTGTATGTGTATGTGAACCCCTTCTATCGTTGCTGGGCAACAGCTCGTTAAATTGCACCTCTCATGTTTTAATATGAACGATCTTACTTTCCTCTAAGTGTAAAACGTGGTGCTTATGTTTAAGGTACGTAATTACAGCTCACTGCATACTTTAGTCACTAGTGTAAATCGACATTTTTATTTCATGGAATTCTGTTTAAGTTGGCAACAAATTACCTTACTGTATTCTGACATCCCAGAAACCTGTTATCATCAAGCAAATTGTATGTACTTTACATAAATATGCACGTGATAAACAAGATTGAAAGTCTAAAGTGCATTCTCTCTAGACAAAGACAGTTCATGATTCTCAGCATGACGCTGTGTTTGTGCTGAAAGGATCCTTGCACGCAGTGTCATCATCACAGGATGGGCCATAAGCTACACTGCTAAACTGAGCCTACATTCTAGCCTTGGATGTACGTACTCTGCCAGATAGTTACCAAAGTTTTGTAGAAACCTGCTGCCTATATCTTCAGGACAATCTTACCAGTTTGAACGGTGTCATATATCAGAACACATATGCACATATGGGATAGTGGAAGTCTAGCTCCACTATGCTTGACCTTGGCACTAAATGGAGGTAAAGGGTCAGCTTAACGTCCCAGCTGCTTTACCCCTCTGGTACCCACTATAGGAGGCTGGGTGTGCCCCAGTCTCTCTCTGGATGCCGTGAGGCAGAGAAAATCCATTACCCCTGCCGGGAATCGAACCCTGCCCATCCAGCATGTAGCCCATCGCTATATACCAATTGAGTTTTCCCTGTTCCTGTACACTGAACATATGACAAATTCATAATTCTGTTCTGAATGTATAAAATGTTAAGTATTCAGTTTTGAAATATGATTCTGCAACATGATAATCTTCAGACTGTGTTTTTTTAATCTTTTCTCTTCTAGCTTCTGTTAAAAAATGTAAAGTGATTTGCAGCTTCTCAAGAAGGATTCAGCTTCATGGAGTTGGTTACTTTAGCATTTTTTAGTGTTAATAAATTGTGTACTCTTAAAGAATTCTCTACAAATATCGGAGGAGGGAAAGGCCACACCATACCCATGACTTACCCATAGAATGCTGAGGAGTTCATACCTCTTTCCTTACTTCAAAAGCCTGGGTTGTGTGGCAAAGACATTTCAAGGACAACTGTCAAAGTGCACTCTTCTGAGTTGTGTAGTTTGGAGAAATCGCAACATTTCAGAAGAACACATCACCTCCATTTTCAGGGTCAAAGAGTAAACCAAACAAGGAATCAGCAGAAGCAGGTGACAAGCTTGGCTTATTCTTCAACCCAAAATATGGAGGTGACATTTTCTTCCAAAACATCAGTTTATTTTCATGGGATTACACTGCATTATATCCTAGAAGAAATATTACTTCAAGATCACAAGATGAGATGACTTTTTTATTTGGTCAACAGAAATATATATACATTAGGCTGTCATAATAAACAGCAATCTCATTTATAAAAAAAAAAAGGGTAGTAAAGCATCCCAAGTTTTGCAAGTCATTAATAAAAGTTCTGTACTTTAGACATGACATCAATTTAAACACAGAGCAAAGATTCTTCATCTCATGGAGGACTTTGGCCCTGTTGGTCAGTCAGTTGGTCAGTCTGTCAGCCGGCCAGCCAGTCAAGTCAGTCAGTCAACAGGCATTCTACATTTTAAAACAAATTTTTCAAATCCTGCTTTACTGATAGTGTTTCAGCAGGGCACAAATAATATACCTTCCCTCCTGTCACCATCCCCTCATACTCATAACTACTTACTAACACACTTACCATATATACATAACAGCAATGCTCAGCCTTTTATAGAACAAGAACTTCAGGAATTATTTAGCCAACCGATTAGCCTCTTGATAGGTCCAGATTTTCAAGAGTCCACATTTTAAACTTCTTGCCCGCTTAATGTAAGCACCAGTATGGGAATCATCAGTGTAACCCACAAAGATATACATACATTCACACATGAATCTTTAGTAATAAGGGGACACATATACGTGTACAATCCCAAAGTTTTATCTTGTATATAAGCCACAGTGTTCCTCACTTATACAAACAAGATACTGAATATGTGGAGCCAGGATAGCTCGATTGGTGGAGCCTCCAGATGGATAGCAATGGAATCTGGGATTGGTTGCTAACTTGGGTAGTAGCAGGGATTCTTTTTTTGGGGGGTTTAAGTGGCTTGGCCATGAAACTGACCACCACCTGCATCTAGTGGTGAGGTTAAAAATGTATGGAGCTAATTTCCACTCCTCCATATGTCTTCATTAAGTGACTCATAGTCAAGGACAGGGATGATTTTATGTTTACTTTTAGGTGCAAGACACAATCCAACTTAACTGATTACAGCTGCTTTTATAACTAAGTACTGCACCCTGCTCATTGTCACCAAAACTCGATCTTACTAGGAACATCATCATGTCATCTGAGCACAAATTTGTGTTTTATACTAACAAGTGGAATATTGAGGGTTTACTGAAAGAACTAAACAATACAGTATACAGAAAGTCCCAGGAGGATGGGTCAATATACTGGGAGGTCACAGTATCAGCCATGGTAAGCAGAAAAGTGTATATGTACATGTGTCCTATGCCAAACAGTTTCTGTGATAGAGCTACCTCACTGTACAGATGAGCAACACGCCATGTCCTCACACGAGTTGCGAAGTGCACTGATGTCGAAGGTGGAATTTTCGGAAACGTATTGTACTGGGTAAACTGTACCAACTTTGTCACTTGAACAATAAACATCGGTATTAGAAACAGTATGCAATATCTCTTTCTTATCAACAGTTTTGGAACTCTACAATGAAGTAGCTCTATCTTGGAAACCGTTCAGAATAGGACAGGTACATATACAATTTTTTCTTAGAATGTCCGATATTATGACCTCTCAGAATATTCACCTTTCCTCCTGGGACACCCTGTATAATAGTATAACATGAATGCAACACTCTGAATATAAAATTGCAAGATTACAGTGATGTGACCATGTAAAAGGAATGCATGAAATAAAAGTACTGAGAAAGGAATTATAACTAAAAGTTAAAGTAAAGAACCCTGTGTCATGACCCAGAACAAGATGGTTCAGCCAGCTACTACTAGATATGAGGAAGGGTGGAAGAAGCTGGCAAGAAACTAAAAAGGAAGGACTTCAGGAAGAAAGAAAAGATTGAAGACTTCTTGCCTGTCCGCCAAAGTATAGTGGAGGAGAGTAAGACATGCCTCTTTTTTCTGAACAGTAAAATAAATCACACTTGCATTGCATTGCATCAGCAGGAATGCAAAGCAAAGGAACTCAGATTGTGGTCTTCTAGATTAGGCCACCATGTAGCCTCACAGTGTCACAGTTAGAATACCACAATCCAACTTTCCACCTTAATGTCTCAAAATGAAGGAATTTCATCAACAAATTTTTAAATTCACATCAATTTCAAAGGAAATCTTTTCTTGCACTTGTCACATATTACCACTTCTTCTAGGTGTGACAGTAATACGAATTCCATCTTTTGGTCTTAGAATCAGCTCTGACATCAATGTAATGTCCTCCCTGTTGTCAAGGGAACGCAGTCTGTAGTGGCGCAGTACATAGGACAAGACAGTCTTCTCCTCCAGCAGGGCGAACTTCTGGCCTATGCAGTTCCTGGGGCCAGCGCTGAAGGGGATGTAGGCATAAGGGTGTCTCTTTGCTACCCTCTCTGGCAGGAAGTTGTCAGGGTCAAACTTCTCGGGGTTAGGGAACTGATCAGGGTTCCGATGGACGTTGTAAATATGAAGGGACAGCATGCATCCCGCAGGGACTGTATAACCACCTGAAAAATTGGACAGCAAATGCTGGCATATAAATTTATATACTGTTATCTGTGTCTAAATGTACAAAAATAATAATGGATAGTTCTTTTCACTGTTTCTTAAATCAGCCTTTCCACTAAGCCTAAACATGGCGATGAGGATAACAAAACAGAAGCTCTAGCAGACAGCCATGCTTATCAGGGAAGCCAACGTAACAGTCAAGCAATTAAACAACTTCAGCTGTGAGGATGGACACAGACTGAGCAGTCTGAAGACTTCTCTCTTCTGAGATATAATGCTATGCAGTCTGCTGACAATACTGTGATGTTTCTGGGCAACATGCTGCCAGTCTTCACAGTCAAGCTACCTACTTCACACTGGTTTGTTGCTTGGCTTATTTTTTGATCCTAAAGATTGAGATGAGATGTTCTTGTGAAATGTTAGCTGACTCTTAATGTTATATCCCAGAAGACAGAACTCCTCACAACCACTGCTGTGAGAACCTCAAACGCTACATGAGCATATCCAAACTTTCTTCTTAACCACAGGGTCCCTTTCCACAGGCTAGTGTCATATTTCACTGACCCTTCCTCTCATGCGAGACATACACTAGGCCACAGTCCCTTTCGGTTGAACAGCACAATGCTCCTTGCTTGCATCCCTACTTCCTTTGCAAGAACCTACATATTGGGTCGCAACCTATTTTCACTTAATTCACCCTGAAGATGGCAACTGTGCTGATTACAGTGGCCACACAGTCTAAACCATGAACTGTCTTCACCAGCTGAAACACTGGGGTCGTGGGTTTCATTCCCACTCAAGGCATGGATGTTCATCTGCTTTTATTCTGTGTACTGTCCTGTGTAGGCAGCAGCCTTGTGAAAGACTGATCCCCCTCCCAAGGAGTCCTACTGACTGTCTATGTGATTAGGAAACTATAAAACAGAGGCCAAGGTTCATTATAGACCACAGCGCCCACAGAGAGAGAAAAATGGCAACTGCAATGTATGCTAAAATATTCTAACAACTTTGGCACATAACGCTGCTGAATGCCAAAAGCAGAAACTACATAAACCGGTAGATTTTCAGAGTGACAGGACGACACTGTTTATTCAGGAGACAAATATATAAGCAGTCCTTATCGATTCACTTCAGGAAATATTTTTGATTATACCATAAAAAAATTTCACGCGTTCTTTTTTAATATATCTACTGTTGATATACAGCAATCATATGGTCATTAACCCTTTGAAGACTGGTCACTCAGTTGGTCAGTTAAATTGCTGCTGACCTTTGCCAGCACAGTCATTCCTAGCTTCAGTCTCCTCAAGATCCCTGACCAAGATTTTTATTCTCTCCTAGATATGTACATGTTTTGAAATGGGGCCTCCTATTTCATGAAAGGGAAGTCTGTCTTTCTATGTGTGCACTATGTTTACTGCATGTTATGGTTTCTTCCAAATAGATTCCTCACTTCTGGGTAGGCCAAAAAATACTTTACCTATTTTAGTGTCCTCATTAAGAACTCTTCCGATACCTGGAACACTGGGATACAATCTCAGAGCCTCCTTGATGACCCTCTCAAGGTATTTCATCTCAGTGAGGTCTTTCATGTTGGGAGAGCGGTCAGACCCTTGGAAGATGCTCTCCTGTTCTTCATATGCTTTCTCCTGGAAACATTAAAAGTGATCATAATGCCTGCAACATGCATCCACTGTCAAGTTTATGTTATTAGTGGCAGACTTACCTGCACATCAGGGTGCAGCCCCAATAAGTAGATTGCCCAGCACATCGCAGCACTTGTCGTGTCGTGACCCTGTGGGATCATACACGCATGAATACATGATTGGTGAACATACTGTCATGTGTAGGAGTGGATTGCTAATTGGATTTACTGAACTCTTATTACAGATCATAACTACAGGTAACTATACCACTATCGCTAGTTCACGCACTCCACAATTCACTACAGCATGCACTAAGTCTTTTCACAGTCGCTGTCTGCCAATGGACTCGATTGGGGGCTCACCTTACTCTGGGTTCCTAAACTATCCTTGTGCTTCGGCTGCCAGCTCACAACAACTGGGCTGCAACAGTCCTCTGACTGCTCACCAACCAACTCACCTCACTCCACTGCACTCACTGACTGAACTGAACTCAGTCGGTCAAGTCTCTGCCTCAGAGCGGACACACAGAGAACACCACTTCTATCGTTGCGTGATGTCACCATAGATTTGACGTGTTCTCCTGTTGTGTGTATGGACCATTACCTAACAATAGGTCTATATGCTACAATATTATATACATCTACTAGCGCAATGATGGCTACTGACCTAGCACAAGACTGTAATGGGGGTCAATTATATTTTTTCTTGAGTTTACCTGCAATATTTTTTTTCTAATGATCATCATTGTCATCATCTACTTGACAGTAGGCTCTAATGAGACTGCTCCATATCAAAGACTATGGTTTCTAATTGTCATCTGAATTATCCCAGTTAGGGCCGTGCCATAGCTCAGATGGCTAGCCACTGACTTTGCACCAGAGTGGCCCACGTTCAACCCAGGTCAAGTCATGTATAAATTTTCGTCGACCAAGAGGCACAGGGGCATGTTTCCTCCAAGTACTTCAGTTTAATCTGTCAATTCTCATCCCACAAAATCCTCCATACTTATCTATCAACCGGGGCTGTCACAACAGGCCAATTAGAGGCCAGCATACCAAGTGAACTCAGTCTCGTTCCACCCCCCCCCGCCCCAGACACACACACACAAAACTTTAAATACAGGAACTTAGTGTAATCAGCCCCATTATCTTTGAGAATCTAAATGCAGTTTTGTTGGTCATGCTGTCATGGAAGGGGAGGCAGATATAAGAGGAAGATGAATGAAGAGAAGACTGGAAAAAATAAGGCAAACAGGGAGAGAGGAGGAGATGCGGTGGCAGTGGCAGTGGCAGAGCAGTAACAGGTGCAGAGAAGAATAAAGAAGTTGAGAGAAACAATAAGTAGATGGAGTAGGAAAACTGAAACAAAGTGAAAGAGAAGAAACAAGGCATACATTTTAAAAATGTAAGGAAAAAGAGATTATGAAGCAGAAGGACAGGAAGAATAAGTTAAGAAAACGAATTTGGTTTGGAAAAGATAACCTAGGCATAAATCACTGTATCGGCTAAAGGAGACAATATAATTATATTGTGATAACTCTGGCGCTGCACTGAGGCACCAACAACAAGAAATACAAGCCTCAAACATGAAAGTGTCCACTTCCTCTCTCAATTCTTCATCTGTCAGCTTGGCATCACCCACATTTGCCTCCAGCAAAAGATCCAGAAACGCTTTCCTCTTCTTACCTACAACAGAACAAGGGTTCTCGCTAGACCACATACAGTTAGCTGGGTAGCCGTTTCATCTGGCACGGGGCTCATGTCCCCGCAAGACAGTGCACAATACAAGAACCATTTACCATTGTAAACCAAACCCATTTCACGTCCTTGTTTCTAACTCCCCTGTATCACAGGGTAAGGCAGCTCAGTGCAGTGGCACCAAAACCTCTGCATGCCAGAAATATTGCTTGGTACACAAAATGTCGTTTCAAAGATATATTCTGCTCAGAAATGGTAACTGAGTAACTAATGAAACGTTAATTTGCATGTGGATATGTGAGGCTGAGAAATGAATTGATGTTAGCATATGCAGACATAAGTTTCGGTACAAGGCCTTCAAAGGTTTGCCATCCAGAGATCACCTTCCACTGCTGCCGCCTTCTGGTCCTATCTGTAATTATTTGCTCACATACACAGTGATAAGCCGTAGCCTAGTCTATCAGCTTCCTACGGAAGATTCTGCTCCGTGAAGTCAGTTAAATCATAACTCACCCACGACTTCATCTTCGCTTCCTGACATTTGATTGGCCATCACCCTTTTGTTCACCATCTGGGCTTTACGCTCTGCGATCACCTGCAAGGAAAAGTACACAGTTACATGGCAATGTGCCCATCTTCATCAGGGCAAGATTCAGAAATCTTGAGTCTGTAAGCTCTGGTAATGATTCGGACCCTGTACTTTATACATGTACTGTTGAAAGAATGGTTACAATAAAGGTAGAGCTGCATCTGTAACAGTCTGTGGAGGACCATGGGGTTGTGAGATATTTTCTAGACAATTGGCTCACAGATGGCGGTGAGATTGTTACCATTACATGCCTGCTGCCCTTTATCACCAGGAAGATTCCTGGTACTCATTTCTGTTAAAGGCTGAGTCGACCCCAGGGCCATAGGGCAGCTGAAAGAATTACGTCAATTGAAAATCCAATGACCACATCAGGAATCGAACCTGTGACCTTCCGACATGTAACATAATGCCTCAACCAACTATGCTACCGCGAGCCCCCTGAAAGAAAGATTAATAAACATTAAACATTTTCATTTCAGTACTGACAATGGCAGACTCTGTCATGATGCCAGACAATTTAACAGGAAATAGAATAGAACATTTCAAGATTCTGACTAAAAAGAACTGTATACAAATTATTTTGAAGTGATCAATTTACATGTAGATACGTGTAAGTAAGAATGAAATTTATGTCCTTGTACGTGGAACTGCACAAATACGTTGCTTGGCAACAACCACACAGCTACACCACAAGGAGCAAAGCTGCCATAAAATTTGTTGCTGTCTTCAAGCTCATACATTACATCTGACCAAGAATTACAGGAAGCTTGTCTCGGTGATGCTATTCCCTCAAGCTCTTCAACTTAATCTTCATACATCTTCAACCTTCTAAATTTAAGATGAAAAGGGGGTTATTATGCATTATTTACATTTAATATTGTACAAAGCTTAAAAGGAATTATGCAGATTATGTGTGAGAGACATATTCTTGTGACAAGATAAATTTTAGCAAAGTTGAAAAGCAAAAGAGTGAAGAGCTGTTGTGACATTAAGTTACTTCTCTAGAGTTTCTGCATAACTGGCAGTTACTGATGCAGTAAAATTTAATTACATCTGGAGTGTACCTTCCTAGTGAATCCGTGAAGCACTCGAAGACACTCATCATGGCGCCTGCCAATTCGGAACAGCTTGAAAATGGATTCTGGATGCAGCCATGGCTGAAATATGCGCTGCACTGTTATTTCACTCATGCTGCAATACAGGATGTTGATATATTTACTCACTTATACTTTATTTAACGATTCTGTCAGTAATTCAAGTAATACAGTGTTGAATGACTGGAAGGTAGGAACAGTGGATGGGAAAGGTTGGGAAAGGGAGTAGTTATGGCCCAATTTAATGTACTACAGTGCTATTTTACAGTAGGGACTGAGGAAACCCACAAGACATCTTAATCAGAATTATCATCCTAACAGAGATACTAACTGTGGACTTCCTGAGCATAAGCCAAACGTGTTACCTACCACTTGAGCCAACCTGCTCACTGACATTATATTGCGCATTCACTTGGCCCAGCAACTAGGGTTCAAGTTGAATGACTGAGGAAACTTGGTTCGAGTTCAAGCTGCAGAAAAAGATTTCTCATCTCTCCAGTGTTCAGACTGGCCCTGGGGTCGACTCAGCCTCATAGCCAGTGGGCACTGGAGGTCCCTTCTCTGGGGTTAAAGTGGTCCAGACGTGAAGCTAAACACTCCTATCCATCTAGTGCTGAGATTAAGTATGCAAGGAGCTATACCTCCACTCCCCCAAACATCTTCATAGTATTGTGACATGTTGCGCCAAGCCGCGCCCCCACCCCACACACCAGCAGTGACGCGGCGGGTGAGGCAGCGGTCCCCTCCCCCTCCCCCGCACGGCAACGAAACCCCCCCCGCCACT